TCCTTCGTTCGAAGGAGATTGACAAATTTACGGTATCATTTTCAGGAGAGAACGCTGAGTTCGTGCAGGAGGATGGAAGTATCGTCATTGATACGATTCCCGTCCTCGCCTCGAATGATGATCAATATATTTTCCCATCAACAGAACGTAACGCCCGTGTCGTTGTTACACTTTAGGTTTAATAATGGAGTTTCACCACCCTAGTGATATGAAAAACACTAGTGAGAGATATATTCCACGACTACTGCATATCACCGCGAATTTCGCGTTTTCACCGAGTTTTACGCCACTTTGCGTAAAACGCGTGAAACTTCTCCAGTAGAAATTAGTGAAAAATTTGTTCTTATGACAACGATGATTTTCTTTATGGAAAATGAAAATTCAAATCACCAATCTATCAATTTTTCTTGTTTTTTTGAAGCGAGAAAATTAAAATTAACGCAGTGTTGAGAAAAATTTTCAGTCATTTTTTACGTGGACAGTTTTTCGAAAAGTCAACGGTTGAATTTTTGTTGCCTCTTTTTTTCCTAAGATTTTCCACCTATAGCAACCACTGACACCTCCGTAGATTTCCAAGCCTCAACACTAGCGTGTAAACGGCCTCGGGAGGAGAATCAAGATGGTATGTTCTTGGGAAAATATGCACATGGTCAACTACATTTGTCGCTAACAACATGAAAATTCTGGGAAATTTTCGTTCCGATGTGTAAAGTCCAACGCCGATGACAACACGGCTCAGCTAGACCCGCATTGATGCGCATTAGCTCTCTAGCGATCAGTTTTAGCCGCGTTTAGATTGTCTACTTTCATCATGCCAATGAGTTTTGTCCACAGGGCGAGATAAACTCTGTCAATGTACTTCCTTTCGGAACACCACTTAAAATCCCACATCTAGTGGAGAAACTCCTGAGAGCTCAGCTGAGGAAAGCGAACTTATACTCTAACACTGCTCTGGACATGTTTCTTATCTTAATTTCTGAGGGGGAATCTTCTAGTATTTCGCGGAATCAGTGTAGGAATATATGTATTTGCTTTCCTCAACTGCTCTTAGGAGTTTCCTCACTAATTATAGAAGTTCATATACAAATCCGAGTGAAAAGTAGGAAAGTAGTTGAGTATTTCCCGAAATTTCCTCAGAACTTCCATTTTAGCACCAACATATGTGGTTGACAATGTGCATATTTTACCGCACTGCGCGGAATAGCAAAATATGTTGGGAGTTCGAGTATGTTATATTTGTAGGAAATTTTCTCATTTTTTGAGGGAAAAAATTCCATCATGGAAAAGAAATGTATCGCACATAATATGTCGACGAATCGGTGAAACTCATGTAAAATTAGAGCTTTCCAACTGCTTTGTGAAAAAATTTAGATTTCCCAGTTTCTAAGAAGAAAAATTACATGAATTTTTCCTTCCTAATTTTCTTCAGTTTCGGCCGATCTCAAAAGACAGCGCTTAGGCTACCCCACAGCACGGGAAGAGGCAAACGATAACATCTTTACTGACATTCCGTTACAAGGAACTCCCTCAGTGGCTGCTGAGTTCATGCCTGTAGGTCAACACTAGGGAAAACGCGCTCGCCATTCTAATCGATTGTCTCTAACTGGACGATTTTCCGATGTTTTCTATCATTTACTATAGGTCCCGGGATCGAATCCCACCGAAGTCAATTTCAATTTCTTTTTTTATCTACTATATAACAAATATTCACTGATTGATTTCCGCTCGAAAATGGCATTTCCAGGATTTTTATTATTTTTTTTGTTTTTTTTCAGGAAAAACAGCCACTTCTACCTCCTCCTGTATTCCGGAGTAAAAGATCGATTTTCGAATACGGAAATTACGACAAGTATTATAACTACCGTCACGAAACTCAGGTGAGGAAAAAAATTTTTCCGTCAAATCGTCGTTATTTTTCCCCATCGTCTCAGGCGTTCGTTGATGCCCGATTGAGCGCAATAATGCAATACCTAGGCGGAGATCAGCTCGATTTCTTTCATGATAAAACTGTGCTCGATATAGGGTGAGTGAATTCTCTGGTCGAAATCGGGGAAAATATATAGGTTTTGGTAACGACTTGGTAAAAATTTTGCGGAAAAATTTAGAAATTTTGCAGAAAAGTAAGAAAAAATTGAGTTTTTTCTCTTCTTCTTCGGAAAAAATATTGGCCTCATTAGTTCCATATGGCGTATATACTGGGCGTGAAATATTTGCGGGAAAAATTAGAAATTTTCAGAAAAATTAGACAAAAATGTAATTTTTCCCTCCCTCCTCTGGAGCAATATCGGCTTCATTAGTACCTATGTGGCATATAAAGAGTTGCTGGTATTGATATTTTATGGAAAATTTCTGAAATTTTCAGGAAAAAAACAAAAAAATGTAATTTTTCCCTTCCCTTTTCAGATGCAATATCGGCTTCATTAGTTTCTATGTGGCGTATATTCTTGGCGCGAAAAGAGTTGTTGGTATTGATATCGATCACACATTGATCGATCAAGCTTTGAGACAGTTACGGAAATATAAACATGACGGCTTTCCGATCAACGAAGTAAGAATTTTTTCTTTTCCGCGAAAAAAAGAAAAAATTTTTCCCGAAAGAAATGTGTGAATTTTTTGACTATTTTTGGTGCAAAGTTAGTTTAGTAGAGTTTTATGTGTGAAACGTAAAATATCGTTTTCACCGGTATGAAAATTTAACGTATTGGAGTTTTACCCGTTTTACGGGAAGTGGCGTAATACTCAGTAAAAAACCCGATATTCGCGGTGATATGCAGTAGTCGTGAAATATATTTCGGTTTCACCACTAGGGTGGTGAAACTCCATTGATAAATTATATATTGGAGTTTCACCACCCTAGTGATATGAAAAACACTAGTGAAAAACATATTCCCCGACTACTGCATGGCGGCAATATCGCGTTTTTCGCGGAGTTTTACACCAGTTCACGTAAAGCGGGTAAAAAACTCCATTAAACAATTAAACTTAGGTTGCAACGAGCTCTTTATCTGCGCATAAATCTACATCGATCACGCGAAGACGGGCAGCAGCATTAGAACCAACATTTCCCATCGCGTTGACGAGACGTGCCGGAGTGCCTCCAATTACGAATAAGGTCCTGTGTGTTGCCGAAAACCACATGAAAAACTTCCTGAAACCATAGTGAGTGTTTTTCGGCCACAAATCGATCATCTGGGCGCGCGCTAATGTGTTTGTCCAGCGGTCAGGAGGAGATTGAGCGGATCAGCGACAGATTTCCGTTTAATATCGAATTTCGAACAGAAGATTTTTCGAAGGACACGGTTGACATTGATGTGAAGGACGGATCTGTCATCACTGTTGCAACTCCTTGCAGTTATGAAGAGGAAAAGTAGGTCTAAGTGAATTTTAAGGCGCGCGAAAAAATTCGAGCATGTCTAGGAAGAAATATATATTGGAGTTTCACCCGAGTGAAAAAATATATTTCACATTTCACTTCACGAAAAGTGCATGTGCGCAGTGAATAACGCGTAAAACATGTGATGTGTTTCACGTGAAGTGGGGTGATCTGTCCGGTGTAACGCGCCGGGAGTGTTTTCAGTTCACTTCATATCGCGTTTTTCACTTCACGTAAAACGGGTGAAACTCCACTGAAAATTTCGATAGTTCTATCTATTTACATTTAAATGTCTATTTTGCTTTATTAATGGAGTTTCACCCGTTTTACGTGAAGTGGCGTAAAGCTCGGCGAAAAACACGATATTCGCGGCCTGTAATAGTCGTGAAATATGTTTTACACCAGCGTTTTTCATATCACTAGGGTGAAACTTCAGCGTTGGAGGAATATATGCTCGCTTTGTTCAGCTGAGCTCATTAGCTTCCAAATCTAATTATACTAGTTAAAATACGAATGCGAGTAGAAGTGTACAGAAACCAATAAAAATTTCCAAAATTCCTTCAGAATTTTCATATTTTTCCCCTCAAACTGTGTTCCTTACTTTGGCAGGTACGACGTTATATTCTTGTTGTCTGTTATAAAGTGGATTCATTATCATCATGGTGATGATGGTGTGAAGCATGCTTTCTCTAAGATCTACCGTTTGCTCAAGTAAGGATTATTATGTGCACGCAAAACCGAGATTTTTTTCCGAATTTTTTCCGATTTTCCCTGTTGGTAAAATTCATTATTTACTAAATCAGGATGTGTTATTTTTTCCCTGTGAGTTGCATGCTCAATTTTTCTATTCAGGCCGGGAGGGTTATTCATTTTCGAGCCGCAAGATTGGAAGTCTTATAGGAAAAAACGCAATCTTACGAGGGAGATCAGGTAAAGCAGGGTCAAAGATTCGCAGCAATTGATAGTGCTCTGATAGTATAAACCTTTATATGGGAATTCTGACGTATTTTTGCAATTTTCTGGCAAAATTCTCAACTTCATGTCTGATTTTTTTTCATTTTTGTGCGTTTTGCATTTTTTTAAATAGGTGTTCTGATAAAATACTAAAAAGTTATGAAATGATAAATATAATTAATAATATTGAAAATGATTATTAAAATGGTAAGGAAAAAATTCAGAAAATTTCTGAAAATAATATACATATGAATAATAGTAACCCGAAATTTAATGACATTCTCGCCGAAAAGTTTACCGCTATTTTTTCAGAGCAAATTACAATTCGATCGAATTCCGGCCGACTCAGTTCGTAGACTATTTGGAAAAAGAAGTTGGTTTTGTCTTGGAATGCACATTGAAGCCAAGCGCAGGTAAATCTCGCTACGCCATTGTAATCGATTATCTTTCCTCTTAGCCACCGTTACGTGTGATATAAGAGGATTCGATCGTCCTGTGCATATTCTGCGGAAACCCGTGGGAAAAGAAGAGAAAAAATCGTCAAAAGTGCGCAAAGTTGAACCAGATCGATATTTACATCCGACGTTGTTTTCTGATAGTATGAAAAAAGGATAGTCAACTGCATGTTGCGTTTGAATGTGAACTCACTCATTAATATTCGCTTATGCGAAGACGAAAAAACTTCATTTTTTATGCCTGGCAAGAGAGGATGTAAACGACGATGATCGAGATCGAAAAAAGTGTGAAAAATGTGCACGTAGTTGGTCACATGTTTTGGTGACAATATGAGAATTACGAAGAAATTTCTTATTGGTTTCTGTACAGTCCTACCGAAATTCGTACGTGAGCTTGTATAGTGAGCTTTGGACGCCTGAGCTCGGCTGAGGAAAGCGAACATATATTACTCTGACACTGGAGTTCCACCACCCTAGTGATATGAAAAATACTAGTGGAAAATATATTCCACGACTACTGCATATCACCGCGAATATCGGGTTTTCCACTGAGTATTACGCCACTTCACGTAAAACGGGTGAAACTTCCATTTAGTCGTTAATTTTAAAATGGCTACTACTACTACTACCTCTTATTATCTCTTCTACGCTAAGCGTTCATTATCGGTGTCGGAGTCCATCATAACTATTCAAGGATTATTGGAAAGTAAAGTGAAGACTCCTCTTGATAAAGTAAGAATAACTCGAGTTTTTTTCTTCGGGAAAAATCGAGGTTTTTTTTTTTTCATGATGTGGACATCTCGAAATTTTTTGTCAATCAACGGGCGACGTAAAGTTGACTGGAAACGGAGATTAGCGGTCGTAAAGCGGAAAGGGGTTGTGTGACCCAAATAGGAAGATTAGTTTGTCGGTTTCTTATTCCCCATTCGCCGCAAACCTTCCTCTACACTATTTCCTCTTCCCTGCGTACCTTTGCAGTTGCTTTCCGTCCTTCTCTGTAGGACTCACCCTCCTCCTTCCAGTGGAAGGCTTCTGTTCTCACCTTCGATCCTCGCTCACAGGCTTGCCTTTGCGTGGGACCCCGTTGGTCCCCCCATTCTCAGATGCTTCCCATCCATGGCTGATACTCTCCCATCTACTCTCATTCGCGACGTCTCACGTCATTGGGGCTTGCCTTGCCGCCACGGCCTCTACCCTTCAAGATCTCCACATCTTGGGCGAGCCCATGCTCAGCCGTATCCTCGGCTCCGGCGACCCTGATTGTCTTCCTCCCATCAATCTAGCAACCCATAAGCTGCGGTCTATGGTCATTACTGTCTGTGGCCCGTCGGACCATGCTACTTCTGATTGCCTACCATCTTCCCCTGACATGTCTGCTCTACTAACCAGGCTCACTTTGAAGTCTTCCCCCAAATCGGAAAAACTGCCAGTTGCGCTGACTACCCTTCTTGGTGATCGCACAACTCTGACTCATCTTACCCCTCCCCTCCATCCTCCTGCTTCCCTCATCAACGAGCTCTAGGTTAGTGAAGGTCTCGATCGGCCCCGTCTCGCTCTGTCCTTCTCACTTCGTAGTTTTCTGGACGATACCGACACGTGTATCCTTAAGGTGGTCTCAAAATCAACGTCCTTAATCACGGACTCTTGCGCTGGACCTCAACGATTCATTTGGCTTGCAACATGAATCTCGGCTGCCTCGTATCTCATTGCGACTCAGTTCTTTCTATCATCGGTACATCAGTTCATGGTAAGGTTGCCACTTCCCTTATTGCTGGGGAGTATCATCAGCTCATGCTCAGTGAAGCTTCATCCCTTCCATCTTCTACTGCTTCTGATCTCGACGTCTGCCATTTCTTGGCTCGCTCCAATTCTAACATCATCGGTAACGCGTTGCTTTCCACCCTTAGTCAACCCAACCCAGAATTGCAAACGCAACGACCGCCACGATCCCTGGGTGAACTCTTGGGGGCCAGGTCTCAGTCTGGTTAGTACGTGGAATTGGAAATCAAAATCGGACAAATCGGATTACGCAAAGGGTTCTTCGTCACCTTCCGAACCTCAACAGAACAAGAAACCAGAGGTCGATTGATTTATCTTTTTCCACGAGTCTGATCATCCTTTGCCATGCTCATGCTCATGCTGTGCTACGCCTTTTGTGGTGTTCTAGAAGAGGCTTACGTGCTCTACTTGGGGAACGTAACACTAGAAAGTCTTGATAGACGATCTTATATCTACTTATATCATCATCTATGTTGACCACGCTAGCCTAGCTTAGCGTAGCGCATCGGAATTTGCAACGAATGTGACCAGTACGAGATCGATGTCAGATCCGAAGCGTTGGTGTCTACCTCCACGGTTTCCCAGATAGCGGCGTTAGACCGGTACGGTGCTCGCAAGGATTGCGTCGGAAGGCTGAAGATTCATTCGTGTGGTGAGTCGCATTTTTGGGTTGTATTTTCAACGTGGATGGTTTCAAATAGTGTTGGAAAATATGCATATAGTGAAGTTTCACTCGTTTTACGTGAAGTGGTGTAAAACTCCGTGAAAAACGCGATATTCACACTACGCAGTAGCCGTGAAATGTGTTGTTTTTCACTAGTGTTTTTCGTATCACGGATGAAACTCCAGTGAACTACATATGTTGGTGACAATTGAATTTCACACGTTTGACGTGAAATAGCGTAAAACTCAGTGAAAAACGCGATTTCCGCGGTGATATGCAGTAGTCGTGAAATAGGATTTTCACTAGTGTTTTCCATATCACGGGTGAAACTCCAATATGAAAATTCTGAGGAAATTTAGGGAAAATCTCGAGGGATTTTGTGCACTTCTACCTTAGTTCGAATTCCAAAACCTACATTTAGCGAGAAAATTCCTGAGCTCAGCTGAGAAAAGCGAGAATATATATCTCCAACACTGCTTTCAAACTACACAAACATTCCCGTAAATTGTTTATGAATTTACGGGAAACTTTTTGAACAGAATGATTTCCTATCAGCTCTTGAAGAACTGTTTTTCAATATCAAAGTGGCATTAAAATGGAAAAGTCGACAATTTCCCACCACAAAAATCAGACAATTCGACGTAAATTTTTACCATATTTCTGTCAGTTTAACGCAAGTAGACTCACCTAAAATCCTACATGGTAGTAGGATGAGTTCGAAGATCTCTGAGGCTGTTCTCTCCAGTGGTGATGATATCGCATACTGCGCATTCAACACTAATGGTGTTCCCAATTCGGGGTAAGGCTGGATGTGAAATTTGTTACAATGGAGTTTCACAACCCGTTTTACGTGAAGTGGCGTAAAACCCGGTGAAAAACGCGATATTCGCGGTGATATGCAGTAGTCGTGAAATATGTTTTTTACTAATGTTTTTCACATCACTAGGGTGAAACTCCATTGTTTCTATAATGTGAAATAAATTTGTGAGGAATTTTCGGGTGTTGGAAAATTGGTTATCATTCACGTGTAAAACATTACGCGTGTTTTACGCGTTATTCGCGAAGTTAATTGTGAAATATGTTTTTCACTAGTGTTTTTCATATCACGGGTGAAACTCCAGTATTATCTTTTTTTCTTAGTGGGAAATTTTATGATAAAACTCTTGTTGGTGACATCGAAGATTTGGATGCTGTTTGCCGCTGGTTGAAGAAACATCTGACAAACTTGGAAAAAATTATTCTTATTGGATTCAGCACAGGTGAGTTTTATTTTCCTCGTGAATTGAGTTGTCACGCGTCACGAAATTATAGCGAGTGTTATCGCTTTCGCAACACACTGTGCATACAAAAGCCTGGTATTGCTCAGCAATGCGGTCGATCATGATTTGACCCGCGCTCTTGGTGTCTTGTGGGAAGGCCGCCTTTTATGGGAATCACTGGAGTTATACCCTCGATATGAAAAACACTAGTGAAAAACTTCTTTCGCGAAAAAAGCATTTGCGCAGTGAATAACGCGTAAAACACGTGATGTGTTTCACGTGAGGTGGCGTGATCTGTCCGGTGTAACGCGCCGGAAGTGTTTTTAATTCACTTCATATCGCGTTTTTCACTTCACGTAAAACAGGTGAGACTTCACTGAACTGGTCAGTGACCATGTCTATGAGTATTTTAGTATGCATAGCATTCGCGTTGATGACAGCGAACTTGTTTCGTCTCGATAGGGGCGTTTCTGGCGGTCTGTGCACCCGTTATGACCGAGACGGTATCACTATGCACAAGATCACTCCTGGCAGGAGTGGTTTCTATCGCCTGTTTGGAAGACCCACATCGTGGGGGGAAATTGGATTTCACGGCAGAACAAGTAACCCTCGGTGAAATTATAATTGATATGATAATTGTATTATTTCGCGTCTTAGATTAGAACATTTGAAGAAACGGGTGAAAGTTTGACGAAATTTTGGCCGTTGGTAGAAGTGGAGGCTGAGGAAAACGATGGTGCAATTCAGAACTGCGCGGAGATTAATGAGTCTCCCAAAGTGAGTGACAAAGTGGAATTGCGAAATTCCCAGAATGCGACACGATTTGAAGTATTAATATGTGTACACTCCTCGGAGTTTCATCCTAGTGATATGGAAAGCACTAGTGAAAAAATATATTCCACATTTTACTTGGCGAAAAACGCCAGAAAGCGGTGAATAACGCGTAAAACACGTGATGTGTTTCATGTGAAGTGGGGTGATCTGTCCGGTGTAATTCGCCGGAAGTGTTTTCAAATTTCACTTCATATCGCGTTTTTCACCTCGCGTAAAACGGGTTGTGAAACTTCATTGTTTTCAGCCTGAGCCCGTTGAATGGCCTCTCAAGAGAGATTATTACGACAGTTATCTTTCGCTGCCTGGCAAGGAAGACATTACAAAACTGTGGCCGAATCGTGTGCCTCTAGTTTTGGTGAGAACTTCGTTACGTTATGAATTTTTAGTATGTGATTTTTGACAACAGGAAGTCTTGAAGAATCAGGTTCATGGTACATCAGACACTCTTGTTCCCTGTGAAATGTCCGCAAAATTACAGAATTCATTCGCAGCGGATGTGTCAGTCGATCGAATTACGGTACGCTGTTGAGTCTCACTTAGGGCGCAAGATCGTATACTTGCATTCAGGTTAAAGGCGCCAATCATTTCTTTTCGGCTCAGAAGGATATGAAAAAACTACAAAATGCCATGAAGAATTTCTGTGCTGATTTGACTTACCATCAGTTCGCGAGCTCCAGTTCTCTGTGAAATGTTTCTGCACCATTTCTCGTTGTTATTAATTTGCATCCACTCACGATCTGATACGTTTTTCCCTCGATGGCTGATCGAACGACAATACCCTGTGTGAACTGCGACGCTTGCGGAGACATCATGCACATACTCCCTTGCTGCCATAAACTGTGTCAATCGTGTGCTGCTGGAGAAGATCTCAAATGCCCCCGATGTGGTATAGACGCAACACACTTCGTAACAGTTCGTGATCATTCACTTCCTTGTGAAGTGTGTGTAGCTGGTCGCCCCGCCTCGTACGAGTGCTGCGATCCAGCATGTGCGACTTCTGAAGAACCCGGACCCCTATCTCTTTGCGAGGAGTGCGCCCGACACCACAGTAGAGCTCGACAAACTTCATCACATAAACTGCGACCGCTCTCGAGGATTCCGAGCTGTCCTAGCTGTGATAGATCCCTTGGTGTTGACAACGATGTACTGTTTTGCACTACGTGTGACAGAGTGGCTGGGGCCTGTTGTCTGGACGCGTTCCATGAGGGTCATAATTGTCGCCCTATCACAGCGTCACTCGCCACGAAATTACGAAGAAGTATTGTTGTGGTTGAAGAGGATGATGAACGTAAACTCAGCAGAGGTCGACGGGACGCTGATGAAATCTTGAAAGTCGCTCATGAGATCTACGAGGATCAGGATGCTAAGTTGACAGAGCTGGAGAAGGAAATTCTCAGTGCTGTAGGGGAAAGGTTTAAAACGTTGAGGAAAAAACTCCGATTACAAGACGAAAAAGTCCGGAGTGACATAGGCTCAGTGCGAGTCGACTTGGAACGCGTGACAGAGGCGCGAGAACTGTTGTACGCAGCAGCAGCTGAGGTGGAGAATTTGGAAATGAAAGAAATTGCGATTGCGTACGGAGTCGTGGAGAATCGAAAAAAAGAAGTCGTGAAAATGACAAGAAAAGCAGGTGGGAAATACAGTGGGGTACATGTTCAACTAGATGTGTTGGTAACAGTATGGAAATTCTGAGGAGATTTTGGTAAATTATCGTTAGTTTTCGTATATTTTCAGCGAAAAATTGTGGCTGGTTTTTCACACTGTAGTGAGAAAACTCATGAGCTCAGTTGAGGAAAGCAAACATATATATTCATCGGCCGTTATCATCGCCACAGCCAATGTGAATTATTTCACGGATCTCTATCGGTTATCAGCTTCACCATTGCTGGAAATTCGGCGGTTGCTCTTTCAGCGGACTTCAAGGAAGCCCTTTCGAGGAAGCGCTACTTCAACTTAGAATCTATATCACATAGTTGGAGAAATATAAATTCTAGTACCGGTATCAATTGTGCCATGGTGGCGAATCTCCGCGGCGTGCGGTTTATACTTTCATTCACTATGGTGACAAGAGTGTTAATGGTTTTTTACAGGGGACCTTTCACGACTGCTAGTAGAGCGAGATTTGAAACAGTTCCTCGACCTCAGCAGTGTGCACGACCTACTTACCGATATCGCTAGCTTTGGTGAGGTGCGCAGGCGCTCATGTCAGTGGCGATATGTTCGTAGGTGATGTTGTTGTATGGGAGCGAATGACGCTCCCGGAGGTCCAGGGTTCAAGTCCCACTGAGGGCGATCGGCCATATGCATATCACGCCTTACAGCAGGAGCCCAGTACGCTGAGTTGACACCATGTATAGTGAACTAGAATGATGGATATCTGATTCGACCTTGATATCATGGAGTTTCATCCGGGATATGAAAAGCACTCGGGGAAAACACGTGTCACATTTAATTTCGCGAAAAACGTATATGAGCAGTGAAAAACGCGTAAAACACGTGATATGGGGTGATTTTTATAATGTGATTCGCGAAGTGTTTTTTCGTTCACTTCATATCTTCCACATGGGGTATTACACTACTTCACGTAAAACTCCAGCGTGTGGAAATGCGATCACTCGAGATACCACCAATTGGAAATATCCTTTCTAGCTCATTGGATCAGGGCATGGACCTCATCTGAATCATTGCATCTTCAACCTAAGATACGCTCTTCCACGGTGTGAAGCAAAAAACTGTTGGTAACAAGAAGATCAGCGAGTACGGAGGGTTGCATATCAAGACTGATGACGATATCATAAGATGCGGAATAGGTCCGCTGACGGGCCAGATCGGTAACCACCTTCTACCCATATCCTTATTCCCTCACAAGTGCCCCTTAGGGGACACCACGGGGGGCTCGGGCCTCGGGCAGTTTAGATCACCTTATAGTGTCTGCAACCACTCTGGACGCATGTTCGTGTCTGATAGTCTCAACCATCGGGTATGTCATCGAGTGTTGTATTATTATGACAATTTGATTCCATTCAAGGTCCAAGTTTTTGATACCAATACTTTGCAATTGGTGTATACTATTGGTCAACGTGGTGACGGGGAAGGGGAGTTTTGTGACCCCAGTGGCATCGGTGTTGATGCCGAGGGAAGGATCATCGTCGCTGAGTGATTTTAATGAGTCCATCTGACCTAGTGGAGGCTTTCGCTGTCAGGTACGGAAACGACCGGGTTCAAATCTTCGATAAAGATGGTAAATTTTTGCAATGTTGTGGCACTTTTGGGTCGGACGAAGGGGAGTTTTACGGCCCTTTTGGAGTTCATGTTTGCCCGGCAACACAAAATCTTCTTATTACTGATTCTTGCAATCATCGAGTTCAAGTGGGTCGTCGAATTTCCTTCCCTGAACGACTTGGTTTACCCCAGGTTTTGTCCCCAAGGGGGAAGTTTTTATTCGCGTTCGGCAGCAAGGGATCCGAGCCGGGCCAGTTTCTCTATCCTGAGGGCATCGGGACTACTTTAGATGGAAGCTCCGTCGTGGTCTCTGACAAAGACAATGGGCGTATTCAAGTCTTCACACAACGGGGGATGTACACCTGAGACAGTTAAACCACTGTGTTATGATCATTTCGTAACAGTTTCATACGACTCATCACGACATCGTTGAGGAGCTGTGGAGCACTGAGGGGTCCACTGGGCGTGGCTGCAGATGCCCAAGGCAGACTTTACTGTTGTGATTGTGGAAACTCTCGGATAGTTTGCCTCAGAATAACCGGAGAGGTGACACATCCGATGTTCACGATGCTGATTCTGAGTTTTGTCCGAAATGAGCTCATTTTCAACAGCTCGGTACGGATGAAGGAACTGCTGCTCACACGAGGGAATCGCCGATTCTCGGCACAACATGCTACTCGTGAAGGGCCATTAGACTCGCTATTTTCGCTCTCATTGTCATTTGATGACAATTTTGATGACAATTTTGATACCCTTTCACGCAGTGGCGTAAAACTCGGTGAAAAACGGGGTATGCGCGGTGATATGTAGTAGTCGTGAAATATATTTTTTATATCGCGGGTAAAACCCCCCATTGTATGGAAGTGTATTGATTCTTGAAGGTACTTTGGTCCAGTGATGGTCATCACCACGAAGGTCGTCCTAATGAACCATCATCATCATTGACATTCGCGGCCCCCACAGGCGTGGTGAGTACTCCTTCCCCCCACAGTCAGCTGCTCTTTAATGCTTTCAGTGTATCGATCAATCGGGCGCCCTTTATGTAGCATGTGACCATGCAATAATGATATTTGGACAAGAACAGCGACAACGTGTTAGATGAGTATTTCTTCAAGGTCATTATTATAATAACATTTCCATTCATCTACGACTGTGGTTTTGTTGATGATACAACCGCTACTACTCACATTTCCTGGACGCTCACATCATAGTCACTGAATGATCGCAGGCGTGGTTGGGTTTATCAATACGTCCACTTATTGCCATCCGAATTCTGAACTCCCCAACACAACAGATGATCAATGTGGTTGAAACGTCACAGCTTCCTAATCGAATAACAATCAACCATTACGACCAATCTAAATCAAATTGCTTAACCGTCATCATAACATCAGGTGAAAACCCGTCCGGTTGATTTCTCCCATACTAATAGAGCCTATTGAGGCTGCTCGCTAACACCGAATTCAAACGTCTTTGCGACCTACACGACGATCACGTTGGTGGATATAACTCCGTTGTTAAGATAGGTAAAACTAACACTTGGGCCCGAGCGGAATTATACAACATATGAATGAAAATTTTGACTAGTTAAAAAATGAGGGGCGAATTTGCTGAATTCCGGCAGAAATATCTTCCGGAAATCAATGAGTGTTGTAACACTCGGCAGGTCGTTCACATAGGCGAGAGCCTTGACCTAGATGAAGTCGAGGAGGTAGGACTTTGTGGAATTGAGTAGTTATAACGACGAATACCAATAGTACGACCTCCAATCGTATGAGGTTGCCCAGAGAACACAGCTCGGAATCCCTCTTGGGTTTGCATATCACAGAAGCCGAATCCACGTGAAGTGCCTGTAAGTTTGCAGAACACAACGACGCAATCTTTTACGACACCGAACTTGGAAAAGTAATTGTGGAGGTCTTTACTGCTTGTTTGAGGGCCGAGACCACCAACAAAGATCTTGAATTGATCCGATGCCTCACTTTTGAGAATGGACGAGGCATAAGGGACGTCATAGGGGTCAGCGTTTAACCATTTAGGAGCATGATTATAATCGGGTGATGGTTCATAGGTAGTAACAGCGAAGGCGTTGTGTTTATTATGAATGGCCTCGGAAGGAGGTAACCAAGCTTTACCAGAAGAGGTGATGCCGCCCCCAACAGAAGCACCGACATCTGCCGGGCTTTGAGCGCCTTGCTTGTTGGCCCACATACAAGCACACACTTTCGTGGATTTTCTACTTGGTAGCTGCACACCTTCGAAACATTTCATGAACTTACAAGCAAGCTCATGGGATTTCAGATCGATAAAAGCGTACCTAGAAGGGAAGATGTGCATCACAGTAGTAGCATGATGACCTACCCCCTGTTGAGCCCTGTGCGAGGGTCGGGAACAGCGTAGATGTAGGAGTAAGCATCACCCATACCTCGACGCCAGATCTCATCAGCCAACATAGCGTCATCATATTTATTGGGAATGTTCTTCAACATGACAGTAGTCCAGGAGCTCCTATCATCATCATCATCACAACAACGACGACGCTCTACCACATCATCAGCCTTCGACCTGATATTGTAAGTGTAGATGAGAACCGTTTGCGTAGAACCTTACTGGAGTGCGTGTGGAGTTCCCACATCATGACCTCGCTTATCAAACGAAGACACCATAGGAGTGCCTTCAATAGTAGAAGTCGTCGACTTCAAAGACTCAAACGGACGGAAAAGTCCTAAGATAAATACTCACACGAGAATTGCTCTATCGCAGCCTCACCTCCCTCTGGGAAACATGATGATGGGGAGTCCAAGTCGAGGCTTCTGAGTAGATCACTCGAGAGTAGCCGACAAGGGGTCGACAGCGGTTGGACTCCTAATACTACGGCTCGAGGTGAATCGATACGAAGGCCAGCGTGAGGAGGTGACGAGGGTGCCTCGACGGTGATATCCCCAGTACCGCCAGAGTAGCGTCTGGAGTGCTCAAACATTCAGTTCAATTTCACTGAAGATTGGTATTGGCTTGGCGCCCGATATTGCTCGTCTCACATCTTGTTCTCGCGTTCAAAAGAGCGTGCGTGCAAAGATAAGATGTGTTCCTAAGTTCTTCCTCGTGTTCAACCGAGCATCCGGAATATCTCCTAGGATGTATACTTATGAGGGGCCCTCAGGTTCACCATCCACACATGAGGATCATAACGTAAAGAAGTGGTAGATCTGTCTCAGCGTAGTGACGGCGCGAATCGACAGTGTGACCAGCTGCTGCACGCCTGCACACGCACACCAAGTCCGTCGTATGGAGTCCATGCTATGGACTCATTCATGGGTCTCCAGTTGGCGCTAAGGTGTTGACTAACGTTACATCTATCTCTGCCTGCGATCTAAAGCGCTTGAAATGATGGAGTGCTCAAACGACTATGGTATACACGCCACAACACTCGATTTGAGGCGGCGCTCACACTGTATGTGTCACCCGCTCAAGTTGGGTAGTTGAGCTCCATCAAGTCTGTCTCCATCCCAACAACTATCGAACCCAAAACTCTACAACTTAGAGTGAAAGGCTCTTCTCCTTCGAAGAAAAGAGTAATGAACGTGATACAAATTGTCGATATACCAAATAACGGTAGTAATTATCGTTTCAACTATGCTGCCTACTATCAAACCCTGTCCGACACTGCGGGGCCAGGAGTGACAGCAGCAGCAGTATTCGGCTTTCCTCGCTTAGGATCATGTGGGGTTCCCTGACGCCAATCGGAGGAGCGCTGAGATAAATATCGTCGTTGAGGAAATGTAAGATTGTAAGATTTATCAATACTTCAGAGCCACCACCACCAGAAGCGATCTTTTCGTTCTGTCTATAAGCCTTCCATTCGTTCTTCACATTCTCATCAGCGGTCGATTCAGCCGAAGGGCCACCGCCGCATGAGAAGCAACAACAGCATCTCCCGAACCAATATTGTACCAGAAACCTGCCAACAAGAAATGAGCTGAAATTCTTCGCTGTGCGCAACGGAGAATCTTACAACAAAGAGCCCAATGATTTCACTCCATTGAAGAAGACCACCGTACCAAGAACAAAGTACAAAAAGCCGTCGGCTGAAATCGCCAACACTGTCGCCGAACCAGACGTCCCATCAGTCGGGCTCGTAATGCCCTGAGAAGATTCCTTATCAGAAACCGCGATACAAAAATCGCTTCGCTCCGCTACATATATGAGAGCCAAGTTAGTGATTGCCCAACAAAGAACGAGGTAAGTTCTGAACTCATTCCTCTTTGCCTGTACGTCCTTCTGCGAGACGTCATTGCTATCCAAGCCTTTCGTTCCTGTTGAGCGACGATATGATCACATACCAAGATTAGGTGGCAGACCTACCCCACGAGAGATCGTGTGTGTTGCAGAAGGCGAATGTTTGAAATATATTTATGTAAGTCGGCGACATGAAAGTGTACTGTAGGTAGGTCAACAGGACATGCACTCCCTGAAAAAATAGTACAACTACGATAATAACGACTAAGAAGAGCCCCTTGTCGAGGTCCCCGGTTCGATTCCCAGTGCCGACACCTACCTCCCCATGAAGTACCGCAACCAGGATATAACTCAGTACCGCAGCCAAGCCAATGGCCATGAGGACGATACGAGTCGATACAACCACGTTGTAAACGGCTACAGCAAAAGTGGCTAACATGAACACGCCGAAGACCAATGAGATGAGCTTGTAACTAAAAGTGATCAAGTCCAGGAACGGGGGGGATCTTATAATCCTCACAGTGCGCGCAACGATCTCCTCGGCGAATCTGGCTGAGTACCCATCGCTAGTAAGAACGTGGTGAACATTAATATCAAATATCTGAAATCTTCGCTGTGCGCGACGCCCAGGTTGATGATAGCTTACATGAACTGTATAACAATATATACAGCATCAGCTCCTTCGAATCTCAACGATCCTCCGTTAATCAGAAAGGAGTTCCACAAAATGGTGAATGTGAGATAAAAGATGCCCACCAGAAACCACGTCAATATCGTATTCAAAGCGAAGAACCTAACACCAGATCAAGCAGTAGCGCGCGCCCTGTCGATCGATATCCAATAGGACACCGGATCAACAACATAGCAGTTCTATCATCAGTATAGTTTCATTGCTGACTCACTCCCATTATATTTCTACTGTGAACTAGTCTAACACGATAAGGGTCCCGGATATCCATCGACAAACCCCGGTTCAACCCTAGGCATCGACATGTCAAAAACCTATCCCTTTCTTCCTCTACCACACTTACAACAACTCATTCATGAGTATCAGCTTCCTATACCACGAATGCCTCGTCGTGAATATCCTAAATAGCAGTAGCCCTTGCCACAGGGCGAAGATCTGCGCAAAGAACGATCCGTTCATCCATCGACGACGCTGTTTGGTCAGAGTAGCACAACTATCAGGGACCTGACACGAGCGTTGAGGAAATGCAAGAGAGCAAGTGGTGCTCCACTACGTCGGTAACTGCAACAGAGTTCTTGACGTATTTCAAAGTATTAGCGGCCGTGCGACTGCATACCAACTCAAGGGCGAGGATTCGATCTTCAGCAAGGTACCTGATCGTAATTGACATCATATAACGACGAGAACAGCGGAGCGAAGTGATTCTTTTATTACATGTTTCCATAAAAGGGATTTATTACTCCTCCATGCGTCACTGATTTAAAGTAGGGGACTATCGGGCGCTTATCTGATGTTGGCCCGAGCTCAGGCGGTGACAGCGCGGACCAGCGATAGGCCGAGAATGCACCAGGAAGGACCTAATAGAATCACAGCGTTTTAACACGGGTTAAAACGGGTGAGAAAATCCGCAATATGAAAAAATCACGCGACAGTAAAATTTCTCCAGACTCCATGATGAGATTGAAAATGAGTTCCCAACCGCGGCAGCACTTACGCTGATGTAACCACAGACAGACTCGAAGGCCTTGTCGAGGCAGTTGCCGACTTTGTATTCGAAATCCTGCGATGCGACGTACCTAATACAGTTTGGGGAAAAATATGCATACGCTCAACTACAACATGTGCCATGGACGATATGAAAATCCTGAGGAAATTTTGAGAAAGATTCCTGGGCACCTCTACCCTAGTTCGTATATAGGCTCCTATATTTCGCTTTGGAAACTCCTGAGCTCAGCTGCGGAAAGCGAACATAAATTCCTACTCCAATACTGCCTCGATACGGCTAAAGTACAACCGCTACGCCGAGTTGACATTCAGCCGCAGTAACCGGTCAAGAACTGAGAGCGCCTAATAATATGTGATTCGCACGGCCTGTGATTTCTCATTGGTACGGTATGAAATTGCGCGACTATTTCTTAAACAGCCGCCTTCTGCTTTTCACCAGGTAGATAGCGGCTTGTTAACTCAGCAATAGCTCCAGAAAGAGCGGCGGCCAAGCCCGGACATATACACCAAAAAATTCACATATATAGTATATGTTCCATCGCAGGTCTCGGGCGCTCTATTTTGGATATACCATATTTTCATCGATTCTATCAGAGCACACCATGTCGTCCTATTACCAGTTATAGAATACATTTCTCGGTGCTAAGGCCTTGTCTACAGTAATCTCACCGCAACATCCAGCGACGTTGCGGTCCTTATCCATGGCATTAATCAACTTTACTATGGAAGTCTCTTCTGGGCGAGTGCCTGAGTTGAGAGTGAGCAACCACCCGGGTTCGACCCCGGCACCCGACACTAACCTGCATCCAAACAGACACAATATAGCTCCTCGTGAACACCTTCTGAAGCTCGCGCATTCATAACTCGGTAACTGATAAGCGATCAATGGTCCCCAACATGACACAGAAATTTGAGCGATAAAAGTAGCAGCCTAGATTCGAACCTGCGTCGTATGCAAGGCAAACGAGCGCTACTACCAACTACACCATTCGACCACGGCATTGTTATTACATATGATGTGCAAATCCCTCAAAGAACCAGAGGTGAGTATCCAACTTCCCAGCATTGAACTCCTTCAGCGCGAACATCATTTGCAATGGTGGATAGTTCTCGTAGTTTATCACGTTCTCGAACAGATGCACTGAAAAAAATCCGGTCGAACAAAAACATGTAGTAGCAAAATCGATGGTTCCCAATGCAAATATTGATAGAGTCTTCACGTAGATATAGCCAGATCTAACTGATTAACATGAATATACTCCCTGAAATTTCACCCTAGTGATATGAAAAACACTAGTGAAAAACATATTTCACGACTACTGCATATCACCGCGAATATCGTGTTTGTCACTCCACGTAAAACGGGTGAGATCATTCATATTAATATTATTATATGATAGATTATATATTATATATAAATTTATCATACATAGCCGTTGAATGTATAACAATTACAGTCAGCGCATACCAAAAACTCAATGGGATTTTTCTCGCCAAATTCCACAGTAACGGAAGTAACAATATCAACGGCTGAAAACAAAGCTGGAAAAAATAAATCCTCAAAAATGTAAAGAGGTATATTTGACAATTTTCTTCCTGCGTGTTCACATTCCCAAGAACTCACCGTAAACGGTTTGACCATTATCAACCGTGAATCGTGGCTGCTCACGCGACGCCTTCTTATCATCAATACTATCAATATTATAGCGATCGATCGGCTGTATTCGACCGTGAATATCCATTAAGCCGTCTGAAAAATATATGGGTAATTTATTCCGAACGGAAATAATCCCTCGTCCTAAAAGGTTACTTTCTCTGTACATCTCTTCCAAATCAAGATAGATGCCCATCCGCTGCAGAGCAACAAGGTTATTGAATCGTCCATCAATCCTGACATATTATAAATTCTACCAATATTCCACAATTTGACCGCGCGCCACAAAATTACACTCGTCTTCATACGCTCAACTAAGAAGAACTCTCCCAAAAATAGCGATCAAATTTTCCAACAAGTACGTAGGATTTTCACCCGTTCTACGTGGAGTGGGGAAAAACTCTGTGAAAAACCTGATATTCGCGCTATCTCATATCACGGGGGAAACTCCATTCAGAATGCGCGATACCACGACGACGACCTTGTTACTACCTCGTCCGACCGTCCGCGAGCAGACAAACGCAAATCTCATCCCAGTTGTATTTGGTTTGGTCCACGAATTTACGGATATTTTGCAGTATGCCCACCAGCGTGCCGGGCACTCCTAAAACGTGACCACCAATCGAGTTCACATATACTATTTGAGAATATATCTACGATCACGTATATATATATAACAATTATCGATTGAATACTTTCAAGTCATTGGAGTTTCACCACCCTCGTGATATGAAAAACACTAGTGGAAAAACTATATTTCACGACTACTGCATATCACCGCGAATATCGCGTTTC